CCCCAAAACCCCAAAACCCCAAAACCCCAAAACCCCATTAATAATTAGAATTATTGAACATCACTATGACCGACACAATTAGGAGATTTTTATTAGAAGCTGTAACTTCCGCCCCTCCTAGCTCTCCTGCTAAAAATCCTAACTTGTACAAATCTCAGAAGCATTGTGGAACACTTCTGCCAGAAATTTCAGGCCTAGAAGAAGCCAAGATAATGCAGAAACAAGACAATGCATCGCCTAAAAAGGTGAACGGTAAAGTGGGTAGATCTCCTCAGAGTAAGTAATCTTTTCTCTAGCTTTTGGTTTTTTATAACTTGTTACTAAATCTTCTTAAATTTTGAAGACTTTTGCTAAAATGAAATCTTTTCTCCGATCTTAAAAATTTTACCCTGGACAAGAGGGCCTAATTCTGAGCCACCAGTAATTTTGAAACCATCATATTATTGGGTACTGGGTGGATCCCAGATCTGTGTATAAGGATTGGGTTTATGGCTACTTTAACTAGAGTTGGTGGATATACTAACTTTTGGTATAGGGATTAAGAAGGCTGAGCTTATTCTTGCCGGTCTTAGTTTTAGCAAAATCCTCCAGAGTAAGACAGCCCAAAGTACTCCAGTTACCAACACTGAAAGATTCAGACGAGATTGAAGAAAGGTCGATATTTTAAGACTTTCAGAATATTATTTATATACCTTAGGAACTGAGTTAAGGAAGTTTTGTACGCCACCCACACCCAGAAGAAGAAAGTCTGGCTTCGTCCCTTCTCAATTCGGGAAAAAGAGAAGGAACATTAAGCATAGATCACTCAAGAAATTAAGTGCCAAAAAGTGTACGAAGCAGTATCTCCACCGCCTCTCTGTAGATCTGGGCAGTATTGAGAGGGAGCTCTCGGAAAAATACTCCCGTTTGGAAGATTTAGGTAAGCATTCTCTAACTTAATTCTCTGAAAGCCAATTTTTATAAATATGAATATTTTCGTATTTTATAAGCTGATATGTCCAAGAAAGTTATCAAAACTATCGAAATTTTGGAAAATGGACCAATACGAAATCGGAATTTTCTAATTTCTAGGAGATTTTTAGCTTGATAAAGTAATTTGGGCTTACCGTCCAATATCAGACATTTCTCTCTTATCTTAAACCAGAGTTTTTATGATTTCTGGTGAACCATTTTTGGATAGAACTTGACTAAATTATTATCAACTGATAAAAATATATTATTCCAAACTGACTCTTTGTGGTATCTTTCAGTCCATTTTAGGACAGCTTAAGATCACATCTAATTTCTGCTGCCATTTGCTTTTGGAAATTTAGAGTAGCTAAGTCGTGTTTAAAAAATTCCCTCATAATTTTTATAGGAAAGCAGATAGAGGATAGGATAGAAGAAATCTCAAGCGTATCCTCAGAAGAAGAAAGAGACAAAATAGAGGCAGACAAGTACTTCATCAGCATCGATAAAATTTCTACTAGTGACGAAGAGTCCTCAAACAATAGTGATTTCAAAATCCAACTTCTCCCTCAAGAGAGTCCTCGTGATGAAGATGAAGAGGTCAAAATGTTTGAACCAAATAATGGAATCGACTCTATTCATGAAGAAGATTCATTCTGAGAATCTGAAGAAGAATTTGGAGAGAACACAAAAATTTCTCAGACCCGCTTCTACGATCTTAGTGAAAAGGCATCTCAGAAGAAAAATAAAGGATTATGAAAAAGGAAAAGAATCATGTCGAACATCGACCAGATTCCTCTTAAAAAGATTTCACCTAAAAAGACACTGAAACAAAGAAAGAGAAAAGGGTCGATAAATGACAAAGAGTTCTTCGCTTTCTATAGTGCCTTTGAGAAGCATTCAAAGAACAAGATGCCCCAAATGATTAACTCCGACACTACTCCTGAAGACAATAGTACTCTTTTCGGAACTTTCTCTTCTCCTCCAAAATACCTTAACTCAAACAAAAACAGCAGTAAAGACGTTACAATTAACCAGACCTCTCTTGAACTTAAGAAGACCCATTCCAAAGGCGATCCTCAAAAATTCCAAACCAAAGGGGCTCAGAAGAGGAGTTCTTACTTAGAGAACTCTCAAAACTCAAAGAAATCAAGCTCTATCCTATCAAACGATCTAGGCTCTATTGTAGATGCTTTAAAAGAGATCGAGAATGAGATATAAATATCTTATATCTTGTTACAGCTATCTTTCTTTATTATCAACATCTTTATCGTATAATTCAGCCTCTTGCTTTCCTCTGGGGTTTTGGGGTTTTGGGGTTTTGGGGTTTTGGGG